GAAGATCAGGATCTGTTAACATGCATTCCTTCAAATAACTATCTTGTAAATCTTGATGCACACTTAGAACATCGTCCACATTACTGACCTATGTATTCAATTTAAATTTTTCATTATATAGATAAAACTAATATATAAATATAATTAATACAAACAAATAAATAAATATAATCAACAAATAAAATCAATTCTGAAAGTAATATATAATAATCATTATTGAAAGAAAAATATAAATTTTAATGAAACTTCAAATTTGAATTAAAATTATATTTTACAAAAGAATTTCATTACATGTATATACATACCTTGTTCATTTTATTTATAAATGTAAGCCAATTTGGTTCTATAACTTCAACCATCATATAATATGCTAAATGTTGAATACAATCAAGCATTCGTTGCCTTAACGAAAATGCTTGTCTATACGACATTGCTACGTTGTGAGTAAAAGTTTTAGCAATTTTATTGCTTACCCATACTCTAAAAAAATCAAAAAATAAAATGTAAAATATTTTATTATTATGTATAATATTTTTAAATTATAAAAACATTTAAATTATAAGACAGAAATTTTTAATAAATGGACAGTTAACAACCTGCATAAACGTCTTTCGATATATTTGCAATAAAATAAATGTCTGAATAGCATTTGATAACAAGCTATTGCTTTTCTATTCAATATTAAAGAAACAGGCCATTTAACATCATAATTAAATACAAATGCATCCAAACCAGTTAAGATTTTATCAGTCTGGAAACTATATTCTAAAACAAAAATTTTTATTATAAAATTATATATGCAAATAAAATAAAATAAGAATTAAATAATTTAATTAAAATAATTTAATTAAAATAAGCATAAAAATATTTTACTATTATAAAATAGAAAAAAATATAGACACATTATTTTATTTTTTTTTCATTTAAAATCATATATTGATTACACAATATTATAACTATACCAAATATTAAATTTATTTAATTAATTATTTATTAATTTATTTAATTTATTTATCAATAATTTTTTAAAATATTTAATTTTTATAAGAAGTTTTGAAATTGGATTAATTAATGTATTAATAAAAGTTAAAATAAAAAATTAAAATAAATTTCTTTAAAAATTGAAAAATTGAAAGAATGAAAAAAAAATTTAATTTAATATCCATTTTTACTTTGATCAAATTTTTACTTTGATCAATTTTAATTTATCTTTATTAAAAGGATATTTTATTTTAACAAATGTTATATTCCTAAATTAACATTTTAATTAATTTAACATTTTTTTAAATTAATTACATAAATATTTTAATAAGATGTACCTTTCTCTTCTCTAGTTTGAATAGAAAGTATTCTAAACATTTGAAATTGTAAATCATATGGTAAAAGCTCTGGCTTTAGATCATCTTTATATGGATCTGAATCTGCAGTAGACATACGTAACGCAACTTCAAGAAGAGATGCTAGCCGATGAATAACAATATCATACATATTTTTATTTAATTCAGTTTCGCAAAGATTCATAAATTGAACCTAAGATTAAATAATATCATGTAATTCTATATTATGTAATCTGTATTTTAATGAAATATTTTAATGAAATATTTATATTTGAAATATTTTATAAACTTACTACAAAATCTCCTTGTGCAAGAAGAAAATAATTTTTCAGACTACGAAGTCGACCCATTAAATCATTTTCATGAATAAGGACTTCTAATAAAGTCTTTGCTGCTTCAGAATATGCTCTATCAATAGCACTTATATATTTTTGTCCTTGTTGTTGATAAATCAGAGGTTCTTGTTTTCCCCATTGAACTGTCTTACCTTTATATATATATATTATAATTATATTTTTAAGATTTATTTTAATTTCAATTTTTTTATAATAATATTACATACCACATTGCCTAATAACATTAAAATATTTTCCGGTTCTTAGAATTGTTTGTGCCTGTTCATTAAGAAACGTAGGAGTTCTCTCTGATCTCATAGTATATCTTTTTTCCCAATAATCTGCAGAATAATCTATAGGTAATTCCTCTCTATGAATTAATTCATTATCTTCTACAAAAAACTAAAAATCATACAAAAATTTATTTTTGGTATATTTTTTTTAAATGAAATTATGATATATTATTTCTTTAAATATTATTCTAGCTTTACCTCTTCATATGGATCACATATCACTCCTTTATATACCCATTTTTCTAACATTTGCATATATGGAACACTTGCTGCTTGTATAAGAAACAAACATAATTCTCTAAATTTTGCTTCTCCACTAATATTATTTGCTTGTTCATGCAAAAGACTAAGCACTTTCCCACCTTTTGCATTGGCCTAAAATAAAATACTTTTTTTCATATATCAATTTTGTTGTATTTAAATAAAAAAATATAAAAAATCAAAACTGACCTTACATATAGTTGATGTAATTTGAAAAAGAATAGTCATTGCTATCATAGTTGGTTGAATATAGAACCATAATTTTTGCAAATTTAATTTGCCCCGTACATGTTCCATTTCTAATTGTACAACAAATAACTAAAAAATTTTAAATACTGAATTATTTTATATTTTATAAACAATTTAATCACAATTTTATCAAAATATAAATATATTAATTTTAATGTAAATATATTATATTATTATACATACTAAATAATCTTTTAATAAAGTTTTTATAGCTTCTCTCAAAGCATGATTTACTTGACCATCTTCTGGTAAAACTTTTTCTTCCACAAATCTAGCTGTCATAGAATAATGAGATGCAAGAGGTAATATCTGTTGTGTCAATTGTTTATAAGATATACCTAAAAATCATTTAAAAAAAAAATTATTTCATAGATTATACATTTAATGATAAAAATTAAAAAATATAATCTATCATTCTTACAAACATCTGGAGATATATTGAATGTTTTCATTGCATATGGACTTGTTAAAGGTTCAGAAACAATATAAATTCCATCTATACCTTTCAAGCAATATAAAATATCCCAAAGTAGTATAGATTCTTGAGAAACTATTGGTACAACTTCTACAAATATTTTATTTTTAATAAATTAATACTATTATAAATTATACTAATCCTTAATTTAATATAAATTTAAAATAATATTTACTTTGACATGGCATCACATTTAGTTCATTATAAAAATCCCATGTTATTCTAGGTCTCTCATGAACCCAGTTATGTTTTATTACAGATGGTTCTACTTTCTTTGAAATTGCACATACTTGTTTATTTAATTTCTTTTCTCCTTCAACTGCAGCTTTAATTACATTCTTACATATCTATATTGTATATATATATATAATATAATATAATATAATTTAAATTAAAAAAAATTATAAAATTTAACATTCTTTTATAATTTATAAAAAATAAATTTTAATATATTTTTAATTTTATTATAAAAATATTTTTAAAATTAATATATAATTTATTTAATAATTAAATTTTTTAAAACATAACAATTATAAGTAGTTATTAAATTAATATTATATTTATAAATTAATATTATATTTATAAAAAAACAAAAAAAACCTGTGGTAGATCCTCTGTAGTAATAGCAGCATTTTTTGTGGAAATTGATGTTAAAGCTGATGCTTCTTTAGTTAAATAACTCTTTAATTCTTTATCTTCAGATATCAATTCCAATACTTGAATGAATAAACCTAATAAATCTACTCTATAAAAAAAATATATTATTTTAATAATATATTTATTTTATATTAAACTTATGTATGCTATTTATCATATTTACTTTTTTGCTTTTAATTCTTCATATTTTTGTAGAAATAATTCAGGAACAGGAGAATTTTTTGCTAAATTACGAACAGAACTTTGTGATGCAACTATAGTTAAAGCACTTGCACTTGTTGGTATTCCTTCTTTTTGTAATTTTTCTACATGTTTTTCCGGTGCAGAAGATGATCTATTATAAAAAAAAATAATCATTTAGTGAAATGATAAATATATTATAATATTTTTATATTATAATATTTAATTTGAGAATTTAATTCAAAATACGCAATTTACAATTAATGAATCAAAATAAAATTTATATTATTGATATAAATTTATATTATTTATTAATCAAAAATTTATAAAATGTTAATATAAAATATTTAATCTTTACTTACCCAAGTAATCCAATTAATTCAACCACTAAATGATGTAATTTAAATTCACTCATTGTTTTAAATTAATAATTACATTATATTTATTTAAAAAATAATTATTTTGTTTATATTATTAAAATTTAAGTTTAATTATTAAAATTATTAGCATATTCAAATACACTTAATAAAAAGATGTTTCATCAATCGTTTTAAATATTTATTTATTTTTATTCTTATAGCAATTAATCGTTGGTTAAAGATATAATAATTTAGGTTAAGTTAAAAAAAATGAAGTAATAAGAAATATTATTAAATTTTTCAATTTAATGGTACAATTAAATTGTATAAATCTTAATCTAATTTTTAAGATTACTAATTCCAAGTATAAGTTACCAATTTCAAGTTATTTTGAATTGGATTTGAACGCAGTGATTCATATCAAACAAATAAACCAATAACGTGCATGCATTTAAAATCTTTTATATTATTGGCAATCATTATTTATAATTTATTACAAATTTATTAATTTTATCAACATACGATAAAATATTTTCATATATATTTTATATAAATATTTTATATAAATAATTATATACAATATGTAAATATTGCAATATTAAAATAAATTATAAACTATAATAATTGAAATATATTGTATAAATGTATAAATATGTTTTTATTATTAATTATGTTTACATGTATAATTTAATAAAATCTGACGTTATCTATTTTAAATTAATAATACATTTAAAATTAGAATCTTTATTTATTTATTTAATAAATAAAAATAAATATTATTATAATAAATAAAAATAAATATAAATAAATATTAATAATAATTATTAGTTTTATTTCTAATAATAATTGTTAAAATAATAATTTTAATATTATACTATTATATTAAATTTACAAATTTGTATTATCTTTAATTGAATTACTGTCTGGTGGAGTGAGGAACATTCCATAAAACAATGATTCTTCATATTGCTCGTGAAGAATAGCTGTTTCATCTTCAAATAATGGTAATACATTTGTATGTAATTTCGAAGTCATTTGAAATACGTATTTATTAGCTGGAATTCTGAAATTGTAGAATTATCTAAATTATAATATATAAAAATTTTCCATTTTATTAATATAAAAATTATAAAATCATTTACAAAAGTTATTTTATATTATTAACAAAAGCAAAAATTGTATATATTTTTTACATATGTAATAATAGAAACTCTAAAATTTTATTATATTATAGAAACTCTAAAACATAAATAATAAAAAAAAAAGAATGAATGAATGTATCATAAATATATATATATATATATATATATACATATTATGGAGAAGTCCTTAATTAAAATATATAACAAAAAAAAAAATGATTAATTCCAATGAATTTCATGAAATATTTCATATATAGACATATATAAAATATTTTTCACATAAAATAATTATTATTATTGTAAATTATTATTATTTTTACTATTAATATCATATATATAAAATGTCATATATAAAAATGTGGAAACATTCGTTAATTGGAAATAGAATTGGCATTATACAAATCGAAGTAACATATGTCAAAGAAAGTGTATTAAATATCATAGTATACAGTTTATTATTTTATTTTATTTTTTTTTTATTGTTCAATATAATTCAATATAATTTTTTATTGATAAAAGAAATATTTGTTATATTCAACACATTTTTTTTCGACATATGTTGTTTGAACTTGTTTGTACTCGGTCAGCGATATATAACCTATACTACCACGATTAAAGCTACACATAATTGATCAGTGTTTTTTGATAATAATTTATTAACAAAATCATAACGAAAGTTTTTGCAAAAAAAAATTATCTTATCTTTATAAAAATGGTTATCTTCATTTAATGAATGTTTTTTTGGGATATTCAATATATTTAACGTAATACTGTACAAATCATTAAAATATTTGTTAACATTATTATATAAAAAAAATATAAAATAATTAAGAATAAATTACATAAATACATATATAAATATGCATTATTTATTATTTAAAATATTTATTTAATTTTTATTAAAAATTAAATGTACCTGAAATTTTTATTTAAGATATTAGAAGACAATAAATTTGTATATTGCATAATATTTTTATTATTAAAATTTGATAATATGTTAGGTTTTTCTTTCATTATATTGTTAACATGATTAAATTGTTTGTTATGTAATGATTGTATAATATTTGTATGATTTGTATCCTTTTTAAATCTTTTAATAATATTTTTAGTTTCTTCATCAATTATTGATCTTTTTTTTTTTACTAAATTCACATTATAATAATTGATATTTGGTTTATGATTTTCTTTAGAATGTCTAAATTTAAAAAAATAATTAAAAATTATAACTAAAATATAGAAAATATGAAATAATAAAATTTTTCTTACAATATTAGTTTTTTATCAATTTCTAATTCCATTTTTTTAAAAAATTGATCATCATCATCTATGAATATAATAGTTGAAGCATTTGATTTCTTATTTAAATTGTGTCTAGTAATATTATCAGAACATATGATTCCTATAACCAAGTATGAAAATAAGATTTAATTTTATAAAATTAAATTAAATTTTAAATGTATTAATTACAATAAAAATTATAAATTAAAATTTTAATTACTTGAACTCAGTTTTTTTAAATCCATTACATGATTTTCTTTATTAATCATAGTAGTAGTATTATATATTTTAATACTACTTACAATTTGCATATACTGTGTAGAGATAAAACGAAAATGCATATTTACTCAAAAAAAGTATGACTTTGATTGGTTATTTCTAATAGATCCAATATTTAAAAATAATATGAGTCAAAAGTCAGATTGCATAGTAATATGATAATGATAATGAATATTTAATTAAAATTTAATTAAAATAGTTTTAAATATAATTAAATAATTGATATATATATATATTTAATATTATATATATAATTATTATATATATATATATTTATATAATTATATAAATATAAAAATAAAAAAGAAGGAAAAATAATATTTTGTTTTAATAATATATCTTCTTTAATAATATTTTTACGAAAAAAAGATTTATTATGCATTATTATTATTTCTTATATTTATAATTAGTTTTATCTTTAAAATCAACTGCGCTAGTATCTTTTTTACAATATTCATATATTTCAAAATTTGCATCGATTCGTAAAAATTCACACTACACATATAAAATTGAAATATATAAAAGAATATATCGCTATTTGCACTAAGCAACAAACGAATATCACATTTTTTTTACATTATTACCTGTTTCATTAAAATTTAATAAAATATGAAAATATGAATTTTCGCACGAATACAACTATCAATTCAATATTTATAATTATATTCGGAATGTATACAACAGCTGATTGATGTATAATTAATTTCTCCTAGGTTAGCAAAGTTTCATCAGACTGATCAGTGTGTGCTAGAGTAGAATTATAACCTGTAAAAAGTTTCAAGTAGATCAAAGCATTGGATAAGACGTTTATGCGTTTCATTAAAATCGAGATCGTGAATGTGGAACGATGCGTTTTATGACAGCGGTGAATTTCAAGATTTTGTCTATTTTTCGGCTTCGTATGACGAATGTTCGATCATTCTGCAGAAATCATCAATCAGATTATAAAGAGTTGTCGGTGCATATACGACCACAATTTAAAAGAATAAAATTTAATGATCATGGAACGTTTACTAGAAATATCCATAGTCGTCGACAAACTGCGGCCATTATTTCGATTAGATCATTTGCTACAAAACGATTCAACGATAAAGATTCACCTAAGTAAGTTTTCTTATTATAAATATTGTAAATTGTTCTTATTGTATTTTTTTAATTTTTTAAATAAAATACATTCATATTTTTAAAGAAAATAATTTCAAATTACTAATTATAATTTTCATATATGATTATAATTCAAAGAAAATTTTATTTTAAATTTGTAATACGTTCAATTCCATCTTAAATAAATATATGTATTTTATAGTGGAAATAATGAAGATGATATTGGAGATCCAGCCTCATTACCAGCCACAGTTGTTGTGCCTGAAGTATGGCCTCATGTTCCTGTTATAGCAATTAATAGAAACCCAGTATTTCCAAGATTTATAAAACTCATAGAACTTAGTAATCCAATTCTCATGGATTTAATTCGCAGAAAAGTCAAACTAAATCAACCATATGTTGGAATATTTTTAAAAAAATTAGAAGAGTAAGTGCTATAAACATAAATATAAATAAAATATAAATATATAATTTTTATGTTTGAACTTAATCATTTTGGTAGAAACGAAGCAGAGATTGTACAAAATTTAGATGATATTTACTCTGTTGGAACATTTGCACAGATACATGAAGTACAAGATTTAGGCAATCGATTAAGGTTAGTTGTAATGGCACATAGAAGAATTAAGATTGTTGGTCAAATCTTAGAAGAACTTCCAAAACCTACTCATGGTAAGTATTTAAATTTATTTATGTATATAATATGTATATAATATGTATAATATGTATAATATTTATGTATATAAATACATAAAACTTGACAATTACATATTTTTATAAATATTAATAAAACTAAAAAATTTTGAATATTTTAAAATATTAAAAAAATAAATTTGTTGAATGTCAAGAATTTTTTGTAAATTCTTTTTTTATATACTTACTTAATTGATATTGAATGATTATATTCATTGAATTTATCAAATAATGGATCATATTTAGATTATATAAATAAATCATACATATTCAAAAGCATAATGTTCTATTTAAAAAAATTAATCATGTTTACATTTTTAATATTTACATATACAAAATAAAAAACAATTAAATCAAGAATTGATTCTTGTTCTTTCTAAAATATTTTAATTTTATTCATTAATATTTTTTTTGTTGCTTATATATAATTACATTGTTGTTTATATACATTTCAAATTATAGTTGTCATGTTTTATATAATATCTAATAATTTTTTATATAATATATTATCTAATAATTTTTTATCTATTTTATAATTTATATTAAAACAAAGTAGAAATAACACAAATAAATTTTTTTTATTAAATGTTTTTTTTTTAATTCTTGCTTAAACATAAAAAATTAAATTATAATATTTATTTAATTACATTTTTTCAAATAATTTTTAATATTTATATAAATACTACTACTATACAGAAATGAAATTGACGTTTCCTCTATTAAATGCAACAATTCACGTCCCTGTAGACGATTCAATTTCTGGTGGCAAACCAAGCCGTAGGTCATTAATTCGTAAAAAAACAGAAAACAAAGTGCCAGAACAAGATAAAGTACAGAAAATTGAGGAAATTAATATATCAGAAAATAAGATCACAGAAGGAATACAGGAAAAAGTTGAAGAAAAAGTTAATCCTCCAACAGATTCTACAGCACAAACTAACACTCAACCTTTGTTAATGGTAGAAGTTGTAAATATCACCCATGAGAAATTTAGACAAACTGAAGAAATTAAGGTGAATTTAAATAATACTCTTTATCTAAGACTTATAAATTGACATTGTATAATAGAGTTGAATTTCAAGAAAAAACACAAAAATCTTTGGTTTATAGAAGTTATTGTTAATAGAAGTATGATCTCATTTAATTGAAACATATGAATGTTGTTTCTAGAAATCTATCTAATCTATCATCTAATACTGATAAGAAATCCTACATTTATAAAAGTTTTCGTAACAAAACAGAAAGGAATAAATAAAATTTTGGTTTTATAGATATTTTGAAATTATAAAGCTTAAAGCTTATTAAGATTTAACTTCGTATTTATTAATTGTTCTTGTTTGATGAAAAACATAAAAAAAAAAACAATGGTTCACAAAAATTATTAGACGAATGCGTAATGACGCATAACATCAAGTATATGTATACATTGTAAAAAAGCTTGGGAATAGCGTATTATATATATTTCTTTTTTGTAATTATTTATTGATTTGCATTTGCTATTGTTTAAGATGGACTATGTCCAATAAAATTATTCAGCAACTTTTTGCCAACATTAATTCTATACAATTAACAATCTTTACGAAATAATCTATAATATAAATACAATAAATAAAAATTCCAAATTTCATCAAGACAATAATATCAATATGTTATTTGATCCTTGAAGAAGTTTATTGTAATGTTGATATAAAATTCAAAAATAAAATGTCTATTAGATATGATTCTATAAAAAATTTTAAGCTATAACAAAAACATAAATCTTTGTAATATTGTAAAATTATAAAAATGTCAAATTTATTAATTTATTGCAAAATAACCAAAAAGAAATATAATAAGTTTTGATACTTGAAAAATACTAAATGTTGATAGATTATATAATAGTAACATGAATTTTGCATGTTCATTATTTATAATTCTTTAAAAAATTGTCATTTTTAAATTAATTTTTATATCATTTCATATTGAGATTTTTAATTTGATTTCAATTTTATTATAAGAAAAATTGATTTAATATACAGGCTTTGACACAAGAATTAATAAAAACTATTAGAGATATAATAAGTATGAATCCATTATACCGTGAATCTTTGCAACAAATGTTACATCAAGGACAGAGAGTTGTAGATAATCCAGTTTATTTAAGTGATCTGGGTGCAGCTTTAACAGGAGCAGATGCACAAGAATTACAACAAGTATTAGAAGAAATGGATGTAAGTTATTGTATTTATAATTATTATTATAATTAATTTTTTAAATAATTAAAACATCTTTTAAATAACTGTACTTATAGATTTTGAAAAGATTAAGATTATCATTGGCACTTTTAAAAAAAGAATATGAATTAAGTAAACTTCAACAAAAAATTGGTAGAGAAGTTGAAGAAAAAGTCAAACAGCAACATAGAAAATACATTCTTCATGAACAATTAAAAGTTATTAAAAAAGAATTGGGACTTGAAAAAGATGATAAAGATGCTATAGGAGAAAAATATAGAGAACGTATAAGAGAAAAAACAGTTCCAAAAACAGTAATGGATGTGCTTGAAGAAGAATTAAACAAATTAAATTTCTTAGAAAGTCACAGTAGTGAATTTAAGTATGTTTTTTAATTTTGTAATTTATATATAAAAAAATTTTATTCAATATTTACAATTATAATATTTACAATATTTACATATTAAACGAAATATTATTTTTAACTTAAATAATTTAACTAATTTTTTAATTTGGTAGTTTAATTTTATTTCCAGTGTGACAAGAAATTACTTGGATTGGCTTACATCTATGCCATGGGGTGTAACTAGTACAGAAAATTTAAATCTTCAGCAAGCAATTGAGATTTTGGATAAAGACCATTATGGAATGGAAGATATAAAAAAACGAATTTTGGGTAATTGAATATTTAATAAATTAATTATAATTAAAAATAATTAATTATAATTTATAAATTATATAAAATTTATTTATTTTTTATTGTTTTATTTTCAGAATTTATTGCTGTGAGTCAATTAAAGGGTTCGACACAAGGAAAAATATTATGTTTTCATGGTCCACCAGGTGTTGGAAAAACATCAATAGCTAAATCAATTTCTCGTGCACTTAATAGAGAGTATTTCAGATTTAGTGTTGGTGGAATGACAGATGTAGCAGAAATCAAAGGTCATAGAAGAACTTATGTGGGTGCTATGCCTGGTAAAATTATTCAATGTTTAAAAAAAACCAAGACTGAAAATCCGCTCGTTCTTATCGATGAAGTTGATAAGATTGGAAAGTATGTAATTATTAATAAATATTGTAGTAAAATATTATATTTTAAATAAATATATATACATATATATACATATATATATATATATATATATTTTTTTTTTCTTTTTTTAGAGGACATCAAGGTGATCCAGCATCAGCTCTTTTAGAAATGTTAGATCCAGAACAAAATGCAAACTTTTTAGATCATTATTTAGATGTTCCCGTTGATTTATCAAAAGTGCTTTTCATTTGCACTGCAAATGTGATTGATACAATTCCAGAACCTTTAAGAGATCGTATGGAAATGATAGATATGTCAGGTTATGTCGCAGAAGAAAAACTTGCAATTGCTAAACAGTATTTAGTACCGCAAGCGATGAATGATTCAGGTCTCAATAATGGACAGATCAATATAAACGATAACGCACTTCACGCGTTAATTAAATCTTACTGTCGGGAATCGGGAGTAAGGAGTCTTCAAAAACATATAGAGAAAGTTCATCGAAAAGTTGCATTCAAAGTTGTTAAGAAAGAAGCGGAAAAGGTAGATGTAACTATGGACAATTTACACGAATTTGTTGGAAAACCTGTGTTTACACATGACAGAATGTATGAAATTACACCTCCTGGAGTCGTTATGGGTCTTGCATGGACAGCTATGGGAGGTTCTACTTTGTTTATAGAAACAAGAATTAGAAAACCTTCTACTGGCAAAAAATCGGAAGGTACTTTAGAATTCACCGGTCATTTAGGTGATGTGATGAAAGAATCTATTCATATAGCGATGACAGTTGCAAGAAACTTTTTGAATCAGGAAGATCCATCTAATAGTTTTCTGATCGATTCTCATTTGCATTTGCACGTACCTGAAGGTGCTACTCCAAAAGATGGTCCCAGCGCAGGTATTACTATCGCAATAGCATTCATTTCGCTTGCAAAAAATCAACCAATTAGACAAAATGTTGCAATGACTGGTGAACTTAGTCTCATGGGTAGAGTTCTTCCTGTTGGCGGTATTAAAGAAAAAACGATTGCTGTAAGTATAAGTAAAATAAATATTTTATTATATTCTTTTATATAATAATTATTATTTAACATATATATTTTCTTTTTTTTTTTTTTTTTTTTTAAGGCAAAACGAGTTGGTGTAAACTGTGTAATTCTACCTGAGGAAAATAAAAAAGATTATAATGATCTTCCTAAATATATTACGGATGGTTTAGAAGTTCATTTTGCTTCGACTTTCGAAGATGTATATCGTATATGCTTTACACCACAGAAAAAAACTAGTACTGTTCATCATCAAAAAAGCTTAGATCTTGATATTTCACCACCGCAAACCGCACCACTTTTGAGTAAAAATATCGATTGAATTGTATTTAAGAGGATTAAGTACTTAAAGGCATTTTAAAAGTTGATTGCTGTACGACTTTGTGTGCATGATCCATTTAAAAGAATTAGATTTAAAAATAATTGAATCTATTTTGACATATTGTTTTATATAGTATCATAGAAATAAAAATGTAGAGTAATAATTTAATTTTGAAAGAAAAAATTGAAAATCTCACGAATTCATTTCATTTTAATTTCAATTTCATTAATGAATGATATATTTTTTTTTAATATCAAAATGAATTAAAAATTATCAAGAATATTATTATTACTGTCAAAATATATTTATATCTTTTTTTTAATAAACAATTTATTAAAAAAATATTTTATATACAAAATAATATTCTTTGTTATTATCATATATTCAATAATAATAGCAACAGAACATTTATGATATAATGTAAGACTTGTTTGTATGCAGATTATTCTGCATTGTACAGTGCTGTTTGCTACAGAAATAAAAACTATGTATATAATTCATAGAAGACAACAAAGACTAAAAGTCTTAATTAAAAAAATAATGTTTCCTACAAATAGATATTTATTAATATTCTTATATAAAAAAAAACTATTAACACAATTACATTGTTTTTTAAATTATTTATATAATAAAAACAAATTACTAGGAATTAAATTATTTATAGGATAAAAAGAAATTATTTTAAAAAGGTGCTACTGTACAAAAAAAGTACTATATTAATTGAACTATTGTACAATTTGTTGAAATAAATAATTATAATAAAAATTATACAATTTAAAAATTTATTTAAAAATAATTAGAAAAATTCTTATGTATATTTTTATAAATTATATTATATTAACTTGGAACTTCCATTTTACTTAGTCTAATGATAAAGTCACATAATCTCATTTGTACTTGAATTTCTGTTGGATTATTTGTAACATAAAAACCAGGTACACCAGCCTTTTCTAAAATACTTTGTTGATCTGCTACTTTTTGATCCAATTGTAAAACTAATTTCATATCCATTTGTTTAAGTTCTTCTTTGTGTTTTTTATGTAATGCTGTTTTTATTGATATTCTTTCTTCATCTGTAGATATTGATGATAATGATTCTTGCATTTCAATTTTTTGTTGATTTAATAGTTGAAGACGTTGTTGAAAAAGATGTTTTTCTGTAACATGCTGTATTTCCATTAATCCCTTAACAATTTCAAATATTGTATCATTTAATAAAGAATTAGCTAAACCAGATAATAGTTCATATGGAAGACGCATCTGATATTTTGGAGGAAGTTCACCAGCCATGTGTTGAAGTTGTTCCACTAAAAAGTACAGTTTTCTTTGTAGATCTTGAGGTGTTGGAGTAGCAACATCCATTGTTTCATCATCAAAATGTACTAATAAAATATACTAATTTTAATAAATTTATAATAATCTTACTATTATTTTATTTACATATTAAAAAATGAAATTGAGGTTAATTTTATAGTACTATTTTTTATTAATACAATACATTAATAAAATTTGTTAAGTAATTTTTGGATAAAATAACATAAAGTAAAAACAGATTTATAAATAAATAGTAGATTATTTGTTTTATTAAAAATATGAAAAACTGATTGACATTAAGCAAGTTAAAGCATTGTTTACAACAATCAATTAGTAAATATTAAATGCAATGCTTACGTATTATGTAATTATATTATAATAAACATAATTCTAAAATAAAGTTTCAAGCTGTAGAAAGGACAAAAGACTAACATGTATATTTTAACTCATCGAATTAAATTTTTTTAATCATTAACATAGTTTTAAAATATTCTATTTGGCAACACTGTTGCGTAAGTTTTCCAGGTGACTTTCCTGCGACAATTATAAGTAAACCATATGTACGTATACATACGTGCAATTGTGGTGAGCTCCGCACGTCGTGGGAGGTTTCTGGAGTTAGGCGAGGGCGAATGTCGAATTTTCTTACTGTGGGACGGAGATGCGCGTGTCAAGAGACCGCGGGAAAATGAATAATGACGAAGCGGCCAGGAAGTGAAAAATGATCGAAGCAAAATGAGGAGGGCGTATAACACTGCAGCAGATGTCCGAACGACTGATTGTCTTGAACAAACAAGACGTTTACACAAGTAATATTCAACTATAATAACATCAGAATTCCTTTTTCTTTCCACTACTTATCCGACATTGTATTTGGAAGAATTTTTTCACAGTTAGTGGAACATCTAAATTTAACTTGTGTTAACATAACCTATACTCATATACCATGATCTTCTATTGGCGCGCTTTTATGCATAGTTCACGTTTATTAGTTAGAGAACCTTCTCTGTGAAAAGATATGTTATTAATCCATATATATTGACATATATATTTATGCTATTTGTTTGAATGTGATTTTTTTTTAATGTAAACCAACTATAAAACAAATTTATACATTTAAACTGTAATCCTGTATTACAAGACTTATATAAAAATTTGTTAATATAGTTGTAATTTTTTATTTTAATTATTATTTTTTAGCAATATTTTTTTAAATAATATTAATACTTAATTCATCAATAATAATAAACACTTGCAATAACAATTTTTTAATATCTTTTGAAAATTTTTATTCTATAGATGAAATATTAAAATTTATTTAAAAATTGATATTGAAATTTATATTATTTAGTAATATATATAATATGAAAAATGTAATAATATGGAATTTTATAATAAATATGAATTTATTATAAAAAGATATATAATATAATAATTAGAAATTATATTTTATTAATAGGGGTATAACAGATATTGCCAAAAGATTAGATGAACAAAAAAGCCGTGCATTAACAATAACAGATTTATTTACCCCTTCAGGGGAAACACTACGAGTGAAACTTAAAGATTATTGTGTACGGTTAATAACTAAAGATCCTGTTGAGTATGCACGTAAAACTGAAGAATTATTATGGAGAAAAGCATTTTATGATATTGTTTATGCATCTAAAAAATTACGAAAGGTATAAATATTTATAAATAATTAATTGTATAATTAAATGTATAATTATAAATTATACTTTATACAAAATTTTATTCATTATTGTTTTTATAAAAATAACATTAATTTTAGAGTAATAAATTTTGTTTAGGGTAATGCATGGACTGAAACAGAAAGAGCAATGTTATCTGTCCATTTGGCAGTAGGGGTTGGATTTTACCATCATTTAATATTAAAACTACAATTAGAATATAATTTAGATCTAGTTGGTACTATTGATTTTGCATTTATGCAAAATGTAACAGAATTATCAAGTGTAAGTTTCTTTGAAATATCTGTATTACATAAATTATATAATATACATATAAATATGTATTACATAATGTAATACATATGTAATTACATAAACTTTGATTTCCTGTCCTAAATTTGTTGACTTTTTTTTATGAAAATGTATAATTAGTATTTTTTATTAATAAATGATTTAAAATCATTATAAAAAAATTTAGAAAATTTGTAATTTGATAACATTTTTGTGTATAAAATAATATAAATTATTAAATATTTTTATAAAAAGATATAATATATTTAAATCAAATATGTTCAATAATCCATGTGATTTTTTGATATTTTTTATATATAATAGAAAAAATTAATTATAATAAATATTATGTTCAATAGAATTAATTTAACTCTTCATCTTTTTGTATTTTATTAGGCAAAGAATAAGACCAATCAATCTAAACATCATACTGAAGAAGTGAAATTATGTGTTATGCGCTTGATTCATAGAAGTTTGGTATGCCTTGGAGATTTAGCTAGATATAAATTAGAATTAGATCCATATTGGGATCCAATGATAGCAAAGAGGTATTATAAAATGGCTATAGTAATTGATCCAAATATTGGAATGCCACATAATCAGTTGGGCACTATAGCAGGCAATACAAATTATGGTCTTGATGCAGTATATCACTATATGAGATGGTTAGAATATCTTTTTATTTTATATTTAAATAAAAGCATTTTTTTATTTATTATAATAGAAATTTATAGAAATTTTTATAGAAATTTGTTAAAAGACATATATAAATTTTATGAGATATATTATTTTCTTTCTTTTAGAAGTTTATTGTATTTTTATAAATAAATATAGATATATTTAAATATATTCTACATTTTTAATATGTATTAACGCTAATTATTTTATAGCATTTTATGTTCTGAACCATTTGAAGGAGCAGAAGGAAACTTAAAGAGAGCCATTGTTACACATTCTGTTTGTACAGATGAAAAATGTCCTACACACATGTGTGTTTCAAGATTGTTTTCTCTACTACAATTATGGGATTATGATGTACCAAATTCTGATAGAATAAATCAAGAATGTCAGGTATTTGAATTAATATATTTATTTATCTATTTATTATAATTAAATTATCTTTTATTATTTTTATTCTTATAAAAATTATTTTTATTATATTTATAATATATTTATATATATATATTATAATTTTTATTTTTATAGGATCTTTTAACTAATATTGAAAATTGCTTAAGTTCAGAACAACTTGAATCAAATGATATGAATATAGATGAAAAAGAGAGCAATATCGAAGTATATCTTCAAAACTGTAAATATGAACAAACAAATTATTTAACAGATGATATGATATTCAAAATTGTAGCCATATGTTTAATGTCCATTTCAAGATTAAAAAGCAAAGAATCTAGTGAGGTGCAAGGTGTTGTCGCTATAACCTTAGCAATATTGTCTCAACTAATACAATTTACAATAACTAGATTACAAGAATCTTTTATAGATTTATCACTTCCTGACATAGGATTATCACATTCGAAAGATAACGATTGTATCACTGAATCAGTGGATGTTGAAGAAAAGGATACTACTATAAAATCAAATCCAGATGAAAATAATGAATCTAAAATTATTGATAGCCAAACAATTTCCGACAAAGGAAATGTTGTAAAAAATGGTGACATTCAGAACGGTTCACGAAAAACTCGAGATAAAAATAAAAGTTTGCTCACAAAACTTCGAAGACGAAAACGAAGAAATAGTAGTGATTCAGATGTAAGCGATATTGATCATACAACAATGGAATCATCTAGTGATGAAATAAATTCTGATGTTTCTGAAACAGAAGATGATGTATTAAGTGAAGAAAATGCATTATCAGATGATGCATTATCCGAAGATATTACGGATGATGAAGGTGCATCTGTGCAAGTAAATAAAGAAAATAGTGAAAATTCTGAAATAAAGACAATGAACGGACATATAGACTTGGAAAAAGAAAATGAAACATCTGAGATAATGAATGATCATGTACCAAATGGTGAACAAACACCTGATGAACAAAAAAAATTAAATGATAAAGATTTAATAACTAATTCTGAGAATATAGAAATAACTAATTCTAACAGCGCATTCGATGAAAATAATACATCATCGGATAGAATAACATACATTGCTCAATTAAAGAAACAAAATTTAAAACCAGATGATATACTAAATATTATATCTGGAAAAGAAATATTGGCGTCTATTAAAATATGTTGTGATTGGTTGAAAAGTAATCCAGATATTATACGAATATGTGGAAAAAGTTCACGCACTTTATTAAAACGTATTACAATTTTATTAAATTTGATTAATATAAATGCAGAAATGCTATTGAAAAATTATAAAGATGATAGTATGATTTTATCGAGCATAGATAAATTGAAGGAATGTGTTAAGATAGTACCGTTACCGGAAGATATTGATTTAAGAGGATTAAATCTTTTAGAAGATGCCCAGAAATCTCTGAATTGGAAGATATTACACAAACATAAAATGAATAAACAAGAAGAAATCTTATTGAGAACATTAAAATTAATTGAATTTGGATATTTCCTTAGTTCTGTTGAAGATGCTGGAGTAAAATATGAAAAATCAAAACAATTATTTGTAACAATTGATTTAAATACTTCTAATGTAAAGGGTAATAATAAAGATTGGGAAATGGATCATTCACGTGGAAAATTAATGAGACATATGGGAAAATTATGGTTGAAAGCGGAAGTCTGTGCTTTAGAGACTCGTTTAAGATCTAGACTCATGTCTCCTTATTTGGTACCTGATCATGAGGCTTTATCTAAGCACACGCCGGCTCTAAAGCGTTTGGTATATGCCAAGAAATTTATTGTTGTAATTCCTAGTGTTGGTACGTAAAAAAAAAGTTTGAAAAATGAATTATATTGTTTTTTCTAAATCATTTTAGTTAAAAATAATAACAAAACTTTTTAGTTGTTTCTGCATTGGATGAAGTAAAACGTATTAGTGGTAGAGCAAGAGAAGCAACACGTTGGCTGGAAACTCAATTAAAACGTGGTTCAAGATTTCTACGAGCTCAAAGGCCTCATGAACGTTTAGCATTACCATTTATTAAAGGACCAAGACCAAAGGATAAAGAAGCATGGTTATTTTTTCAAATTATAGAGTGCTGTCATTATCTTACCCAACAAACAAAAGTTGGTATAACAAATGATACAGAAACACCAGTTGTAACATTATTAACTGGTTGTAATCCAGATGATAAAAGAGTTTTCACATTTAGTCCTGAAGGATTGGCAAAGAGTGCAGGTATTTTTTATTATAACATTTTTAAAAATATTTTATATTATTTATTTTAATTTAGTCAATATTTATGTACAAAATAAACTATATTATTTAATTTTTATATTATTTAATAATAAAAAATCATCCATGCTTTTTTTTAATTTTTAATGAATATAACTGCTTTTTATTAATATGTACTGTAATGTACATAATGTTTTGAAATTTTATTTACAATCTGTTTAAACAAAGAGGCTATTAGAACATAAAAAAATTTTTTAAAATTAAGTTTTTCTTCAATTAATTTCTTTTTCATATTCCAAAAATTAATTCAAAAATGATTTTAAATAATCTTTTACAATATCATTTTCTTTTGAAAATATCTTCTATATTTTGATTATTAAATTTAATGTTCAATTGCAGGTGTCAATATTGAATATATTGAATCATTTCATACAAAGTGGAAGGCATCAAGTAAAAGTCATGGTTGAACATCTTAGATTAATGGAGATGATCATCTGCTGCTTCCTTGTACTAAAGTGAAAGGTAAAAGACTTGGCCCTTCTTAAGAGCTGCGTATACGGTGACGCTACGGCATCAGCTGAGCGGGCGAGTCAGAGAGGGCTGGAAACCCAGAAAGGAAAATCGACGGTTCTCCTGCAATAAAACCAGTGGATTAATATCTTTTTTTTCATGAATTCTAAATAATAAAATGGTTTCCTTTTAATCACTAGTATTGTCTTTTATGTTAAAAAATTGTATTTTTAGGTAAATATTTTTCAATAAAAATAAACTTGCCTTCACAATTTTTTGATCCCTCAAAAAAAACGGAAATTAAAATGAAAATTAAATTAACTATATTATCGTATTAAAAAAAGCGTTATTTTTTAATTATAAATGATTTTATTGAGATAAAAATAAATCGTGTTATAATATTACTAAAGTTATTCTATCTAAATAATATCTCGTAATATTTTTTTCTAGAAAATAATATTGTAATGAATTGTGATGCATAATATATTATCGAAATATAGATTTTCAATATTGTTTAAAAATCTAAACTAACTGATAAATATCTTATTTGATAAATTCCATGTAATAATAATTTTAATAATAATTTCATTAAACACATATTTTATATAGTGGATTTGCTTAGATTTCACAATTTCTTCGTAAAATACATCATTCTTTAATGCGATACAATATATATCTGATAGATACTTAAAACATGATATATAAGCAAACTTGTGTTAGTATTTTAAAGTTACGATAGTGGTAACACGACATAACCTCTCAACTAACAATTCGAGATTTTTCACAAATAAGACCACATATTTTTCAGTAAGATTGTTATTTCATTATTCATGTATTTAAATAGAAATTATTTAATAAGATAATAGGATTATTTTTTTGGTAAATTTGATATATTTTAATACTTAATGAAACTATATATGAATGCTTGACATATCGTGTACTTTTCATCATTTTATATATTATGGTTCATAGAATAGTCGCTCAAGTTGACCCTTCTATGTGATCTTTATAGTTTTTTGGAATAACTTGTTAACAAAATTTAGCGTAGTTTCTTCGGGAATTGGTTCGTGAACGAAATTCCCGTGGTGCAAAAAAGAGTTAAAGCATTCAAGAAAAGTGGTGCGCAATTGGCCCTCAACGAGGGAGAATCGAAAGCGTCGAAAGTAACGAGTCATCTACCGATTCAAGATGGCAGAAGGCCAGGATACTCGAAAGAAAATTACTGTTAACGTCAAAACGCCAAAAGAAAAACAAAGTATTGAGATCGAAGAGGATGCGAGTATTAAAGACGTAAGCTTTTTGATCCTATATCCTGTAAATTTCATTAAAGAGTAGATTAAATATTAAATAACATACTTGTTACACACATTATTGGGTTAACTCTAATAATTATTTTTTCAAAAATTTATAGTTCAAAGAAGCGATCTCGAAGAAATTTAATGCTCAAACAGAGCAATTATGCTTAATTTTTGCTGGAAAGATTATGAAAGATCATGAAACTTTGAGTACACATAATGTAAAAGATGGTTTAACGGTGCATCTGGTTATCAAAGCACCACGTACTCCTACTAATCAAAGTCAAGATTCTACACCTCAAAGATCACAAGGTATGAAAATATGAAGAAATATTTTATAATTTAATTTCAAATTTTCAATATTATTATTATGATAAAATAAAATATATTATTTACTTTATTTTGTATATAGCTGACATAAATGCAAGTCCTTTTGGATTAGGAAGTTTAGGAGGACTTGTAGGTCTAGCATCACTTGGTTCAGGGTCCACTAACTTTATAGATTTGCAACAACGTATGCAACGTGAACTGTTGTTAAATCCAGAAGCATTGCACCAAGTACTTAATCATCCATTGGTGCAAAGTCTGATGAATGACACAGAAAGCATGCGTAGCTTAGTTGCAGCCAATCCTCAAATGCGAGAATTAATGCAAAGTAATCCAGAAATTAGTCATATGTTGAATAATCCTGAATTGTTGAGGTAAAAATAAAATTATTGAAAATGATTTTCATATTAATTAAAATATCATTTATATTTTAAATATATATATTATATTTTTAATTTGTAATATAAATTATATTTTTTCAGACAAACAATAGAGTTAGCACGTAATCCATCAATGCTTCAAGAATTAATGCGTTCTCATGATAGAGCTATATCTAATTTAGAAAGCATACCTGGTGGTTATAGCGCACTTCGTCGCATGTATCGTGACATTCAAGAACCTATGTTTGCAGCAGCAGCAAATGAACAAAATCCTTTTGCAGCATTAGTGCAAAATAACAGTAATGAAGATAGTCAAAATAATCCACAACAAGGCCAAGAAAATAGAGATCCATTACCAAATCCTTGGTCTCAGAATCAAAATGATTCTTCCAACCAACAACAACAGCAACAACAACAACAAGGAAGAGGTCTTTTGAATTCACCAGGAATGCAAAGTCTTGCAGCTCAAATGATGGAAAATCCACAGTTAATACGAAATATGTTAAATGCTCCATATACAAGATCTATGTTAGAAGCTTTGGCAGCAGATCCAGCTATGGCTAACAGAATGATTTCTGCTAATCCTTTTCTTCGAGGAAATCCACAGATGCAAGAACAAATGAGAGCTATGATGCCAGCGTTTATTCAACAAATGCAAAATCCTCAAATTCAAAATGTTGTCACCAATCCAGATGCTTTAGCTGCTATTATGCAAATCCAACAAGGCATGGAACAATTACGTACTGTTGCTCCAGATTTTGTTGAAAAGCAAGTAGAAATATGTGTAATATATATTATATTTTTTTTTATTATTATATATATTTATATAATAATTTATATAATAATAATATTCTATAATATATTATATATTTTATATATATCATATTAATATAATTTCTAATATAATTTTTTTTAGTATGGGATTGACTGTACCACCTACAACTACAACACCTAGTGCAGGTACAACAAATACAACGCCACCGACGACAGAATCATCAGATACAAATCAACAAGACGCATTTTCTCAATTTATGGCACGCATGGTAAACATCTCATTATCACAAATAAGATATAAAAAAAAAAATAATTAATATATAAAATTCTATTTTTGGCAGGTATCAGCAATGGCATTAAACCAAGGTGTAGAAGTGGATGGTCAACCTGTTCCCCCACCGGAAGAACGTTACAGAGCGCAATTAGAACAACTTACAGCTATGGGTTTTGTCAATAGAGAGGCTAATTTACAAGGTAATAACAAATATTTTTTATATTTTTATATTTTTTAAATTCGAAATATTTAATATTAAAAAATAATATTTAAAAAAATACTTAATATTTAATATTTATTATATTTTAATATAAAATTAACACATTAGAATATTTGATTAGACAAAAGTAGCATCTTTATTAAAGACTTAGCACTTTCATTTTCTTTTTTATATTTAGTATATTTGAATATAATATATTAAAGAATATTTTTGTTGTCAAATAGAGTAGTTAAGTTTAAAATGGAATTTTCTATAAATGTTTGATGCATTTAAATACGATACTTAAATATTTCAATTAAATATAGCTTTACATATAATTTTAAATATATATATATAGCATCTGTATTTAAAATATACTATCTGACGTTTATAGGAAACCCATTTTTATGTAGCATGAAATATACTTAGATATATATATATACTTAGATATATATATTTGTGAATGTTATAATATGTATAAATATATTAAATATAATATATGTACATTTTAATATCATTTTCAGCACTAATCGCTACTTTTGGAGATATAAATGCCGCTGTTGAGCGACTACTATCTAATGGACAAGTGTCTATGAGCTAACCACCAATATGCAATATTGTTATTCCATTACTATTTCTAATTTTTTCCTTATTTACCTCTTACAATAGGCGTGGTGAGAGATATTTGAGGTAACTGACTGTCGGAAAAGGAAAGAAAAGAAATAATTATAAACTTCTACCCCAACTCTTGACAGAATACACGCTACTGACTCGTTCAATATGCATTTTTTATTTTTTGTCAATATTTGTATTGTATTTCAATGATACAAGTATTGATATCTAAATGTTTAACTTGTTATATGATATATTTCACTCTTAAAATTTTCTAGTTTATTTCTGTATTCTGTATTTCTCGATGTGCTCTAAGTACTAGATAGCTCTGTTAATGTATTTCGTCGGTGTAAATTTGTTTATGACATATTCAAGAGAGAGAAAGAGAAAAAAATATGTGGTATATGAGCGAACAAGAGAGAGAGAGAGAGAGAGAGAGAGAGAGAGAGAGAGAGAGAGGAGGGGAAGGGAGGCGGGAGGGAGGGAGGGAGGAAGGGAGAGTGGGAGGAAAAGAGTTCTATTAGATCATAATATGAAGGATCTACCCTTCTTTGTTATATTGTACATTTATAGTGTTTCTTAGAAACAGTGAAACCTGCATGGAAAATAGATTGCCGTTAAAAACAAATATGCTTCTGGCTTTGATCAATCAATTGTAAATTTTCATGGAAAAAATGGCCATTTATTTTGCTTAAATGTATGTAATCATATTAGTAAATGTATTGCATGAAACATTCATATGTTTGCCATATACAAAAATGGGTATGTTATTATATACAGGCATGTTTGTTATACAAAAATGATTATGGGGTAATTATTGATCATTAAGAATAACACAGTAATATTTGATGTATAGTAATAAACGATTTATTGAAATGCAAATTCGAAAACTTCGAATGAATAAATCATAATTCAATTTGTTCTTTTTGCTTAAGAGAGAAAATATTCGGTAATCCATTAATGTTTTCCATGTAAGTTTTGTATGTATGGCGATAAGAAGCGGAACATTCTTTCTTTATTTCTTCTTTATGCCGACGCACATTGTTTTCCCTTTTCCTTTTCTTTTTTGTTTTCTTTTTCTTTAGTTTTTATGTTATTAAAAAATTAAAAGAAAAGAAAGAAAATTATAAAAAGTACTATGCATTATATGTCTTTAAGATACAAATTTAGAGATTTGTAGCGTGATGATCGAGAATTTTATGGTGTAGGTTGTTTATAGAGAAACACGCGAAAAGATTGATTATAAACAAAATATTTCATGTAAATGTGTTAAATTGGAAATGTAATCGTCGGTTACATTTAAGGTATACAGAATAAAAAAATGAGGGAATGTTGTAAATTATCTTTATTAAAGGAGAAAGAGAATAATACAGTTATAATTTTAATATTTTGGATTCATGTACGATTACACAAATAATTATGCGCATTATAATAAACTTTTATGTGTATTCAGTAAATCTTCATTAAACAAGCTATTCTGTACAAGCGATTATATCACAAAATAAAAATTATGTTTGATTCATATTTACTTACTTTTTAAATGCGAAGATATTCGATTTCTTCAGCAATACACATGAGTGGATGATACATATACAAATATAAAACGTTAGGAGTAACATAGACTGCAACCTATGTAAAATATACATTTTAAATCGAATCATTTTATTTAGTAACTCTTTCCCAAAATCATAATATATTATTCATATGCAAATTCATTACTATTTTACTACAATATCACAATTATTGGAACATGCATGTAAACTGATATATTAAATTCTATTATGATATAAATGATAATGATCCATTTATTACCCTGTCCTCTCATGATGTATTGTAAAAAAATTTTTAAGTATAGTAATCTACGTATATTATCTCATAATATACGTAAATTAATGTATAATGTAATTTATTTTTTTATATAAGATAGTTTAAATATCAGCCATCCCGTTTGAACTTTTCATTGACAGCAAAATGATTTGAAAAAAACTTTAGTGTAAAATTGAAAGTATATCCTAGAAAAATAATTAAAAAATATTTTTTTTGTATCTGATTAAGATCATCTCATATTTTTTAAAAATTCACAATATCATAAAATTTACATAAAATTATATATTAAAATATTATAATTGAATTAATTTTTATCATTTATCATAATTTTTCAATTATTCAAATATAATCAATTATAATAATATATCAATTAATTGAATTAATTATTGTAATATTTATTTTTCTTTTCATTATTAAAAAAAAAATTAAATTAAAAACGAAATGATTTATTATTTTATATAATAATAAGATATATTTTTCTTTTATTCTTTTACAATATTTATAAAAAAAATTATTTTCAAAATATATTTTTATAACAATATTTTAAATGAAATATTTCAAAATTTGCAATTGAATGATAATGAATTCGAAATATTCGCAAAATTATAAAAAATAAAAAATCATAATAATTTTCTGATTTAAAAAACAAAGGTTTTATAAATATGTTTATTAAATTCATATAATGATATATTATATATAAAATTAATCAATTTTATTATATAGAAAATTAATTACAAATAATAAAAATATTAAGAATATAATAATATTAATAATATATATAATATATAATATAATATATATAATAATTATTATATATCGTAAACGAGTTCATTGAATTCGTGTAAATATTTTAACAATTATTTAACAATAATTAGTAATTTTTAATAATTTTCGAGATTCGAATTTTCATGCAAAGAAAAACTGTACGTAAACGTTCGATCTGCGCATCCCCTCTACTGTTTCGTTCCATAACTGCACTATACTTACTACGATCAGACGATTGGCGCGGTGGCAGTTCAGTCTGTGTTGATCGCTCGCACGGTCTACGTTATATGGTATGTTGATGTGACGTGTGTAATGCCGGTTTTTCAAAGCAATTGATCTAGAGAAAAACACGACAATCGTCGGATTGACGTTTCTTGTGGTGTGAGAAACTTCATCGGAGTCTGCGCGCAGGTAGCGCGGACGAATCGCATTGCGAGCATGCGAGCCCGCTGAAGCCTCACGTGTGCATTTGAATTTTCAATAAGATCATCTGCCAGATAGTGTAGGTGTATTTTGTTTGGTGCAAAAAGTGGTATTCAGATCCAACTCAGTGCATTCTCGTCTTCGAAAACGTTGGCAGAGTTAGCGGAATGTGGCACGAGGTGAGTTAGCAGCCCGCCCGGTTTTGCCGAGGCCAGGGACGGCTCTTGAAGGGCCCTTTTCCTTTTCTTTTACATTTTGCAGTTTCTTTCACTCGTTATGAATTATTTTGCTTGTTAAAACGATCAATTTTACTTATTAGTGTGCAAATGAAACTATATAAAAATAAATAATATATTTTATAAAAATTTGATAATCTACACATTATTCGCTTTAAGCAAACTAGCAAATTTAGTAATTTAGTCTATTAGTATTTGAAGTTTACAATGCATATGACAAATTGGAATCAATGAAACATTTAATTTTTGTTAACAACTAGATTTTATTAATTAATTTGATAAAAATATTTAAGGAAATGGATCATTAAAAGAATTATATGAATATATTAATATATGAATAATTTTTTTTATTTTAAATCATTGAGATTTTAATCTGCATATTGAATAATACTTATAATTCATTTATTATATTATATATAATATTATTTATAGTTAATAAATAATAAATAATTATTTGAAATATGAAATATGTCATTATAATTTAAAGAAGAGTAACGTTTTGTTCGAAGAGATACGATCGATAAATACGTTACGCGCCAACTGTTTGGCAAAAAAAACTTGAAATATAATGCGACGCGTCGTTCGTTTAAGGCCGCGTTTACATTGGCAATTTTTAGTTGAACAATTAATTAATTTAAATTATTCACAATCGTTCATGTAAACACAATGTCAATCAAATATTGAATTATGATCAGGAATGATTCATCAGAAGTGATAATTCATATTATTTTGTTTTTTATCGATCGATGTGATCGTTCGATCAAAAATTACTTAATGAAAATGTGATTTAAAATACATTGTTGCTTATATACAGCAATATAATTGTAATTATAAAATTTATAAAATTTAATTTATAAAATATAAATAAATAAATATGTTAAAATTGTAAATATAATATAATAATCGATAATATTTTTAATTAATAAAAATATGAATAAATTATTATAGATTTAGATTTAAATAATATATATTTAATATAATTTAATGATAATTTTTAGAAATTACTTATATTTTTAAAAATTATTTATATTTTTATGAATATATTTTTTATATTTAAAAAAAATATTTTATATTAAATTACATTGTTTGTTAAATTTTTTAATGAAAAAATTATCGATGAATATTTTTAAATTTTATTTTACATGATACATGTAAATATACATTACATATATAATATACATTACATGTAAATACAATCAATTAAGAAGGATAGAATTCGAAAATGGTCGAATTCCATAATTATATAATGAATAAATATTATTTCAAAGAAACAATTCACAATTGATATAAATAATGAGGTCATATTTTATAGGATTAGGCTGTTTCTTATGTCATTGCAATTATTTTATTTTTTTTATTGTATATCATCATATCTATCAAGCTTATGATCTATTTCTTTTTTTTTAAAAATATAGAATAATAAAAGTTTCATGAATGTTACAATGAATTATTGATTTTTTAAAGAATTTTTTCAATATTAATAATATTAATAATTATCAATAATATATCAATAATTATCAATTGCTTTAACAAACATTTTTATATTTATTATAATGATATTATAATATGAATAGAATGAATAGATAGATAGAAAATATTTGTACAGAGAATATTTTGCAGGATAAGGCAGGATTTCTTATATATTTCTTATATATATATATCAAATTTATATTGATTTATATATCTATATGATTTATATATAATTGATATAATATATATATATATATATTATATTGATATAAAATACTTAATAAATATATAAAATAATAAAATATTTCTAAATCTAAATAATTCTGTTTTCATACAAGTATTTTTTAAAGTCAAAACAATTATCTATTTTAATAGCATTCTAAATGGAAATGTATTGCAATTTTGATCAGTAGAAAAAATATGTATTTTTAAGAAGAATGAAAATGAAAAAAATATTTTTCGATTTCGTTCATAGAATAATACAAAATGAAGGCAAGAAAAATATTTTGAATTAATTACCGTAAAAAGAAAACAAAATTCAATTAAACTCTGTGATAAAGATGATATTTGTGATAAAGATTATATAAAATGTACTGTAACAATGATATATCTTGATTTTGACTCAAGATTGGATTATTAAGAACCTAAAGCATACATCGTTATAAAGAACTTATCACAAGATGGATTTTGAATTACGAAGTACTGAAAAGAATAAAATCAATTCTTATTTGTGCTAAACATGAGTCTTTTCATTGTGTTTTATCTACTATATAACAACTTTTCAAACATGTGCATCGTTACTTTTATTTGTCTATTCTAATTACAGTTTTAGGATGTTCGCAAATTAAAAAAATGAAATTGAAGAAGAAAAAATTATAGAATATGAATGTGTATATTTTTTTAAAGATTTGAATCGGTTAAATTTTCGGCAAAATATTTTTAATGTTTTTATAAACTTATAAATAAAATAAAAAATTTATTTTAAGATTGATCTTTTATAGATAAAATCAAAGAAAAAAGTTTAATATTTTTAATAATTTGCATATTTTTAATCATAGAGTTAACAATTTTTCTGTGAAAACAGTTTTTGTAAAAATCTAAATTGCTAATTTTAAGATTTGATGATATATTTTAAACAATGACGAAATTTAAAAAATGATAAATTAAACCATCTCTGTTTTTGTATGAATTGTATAAATGAAACATATAAACATATTTCAATTTTACAAAATATTAAATGTGAAATTAAAAAATAATTGATTTGACATTGAATGATTTAAGTTTAAGTTTCTGATTTAAGTTTCTGTCCAAGCATTTCGTTTCTGCACATGTAGATGGCATTCGATTTTATAATTAATCATCGAAAAAAACAAACGTTAAGTAATAGTTAAATTAAGAAGTTTTCAAATAAATTATTAATTTTTATTTATTTGTGATTAAATAGTAATAATGATTATTAATAATTGTCAATGTTCGCTATTATTGTATTCCAACATATTCGTTAATATTTCAAATATATAATAGTTAATGTATTGTAAATTAATGTAATGATTTTCGTAGCACACATTCATCTTTGTTTATAATAAAAAACATTGAGCAAAAGTGGAAGAAATTGAGATTTAATTCATCTTGATTTTTAGTCATATTTAATGTAACTTGATTGATGAATTAATATAACATTGTAATCTATTAATTAATTTTGCACTCTTTTTTAAAATATGATTTATTGCTTATGATTATTGTTTTTATCATATCATTTTATTTGCGTAATCAAGATAATTTTATGCCTGATATATGATTTCAAATATGTTAAATGCAGTACAAGAAACGGAAGAAACAAGGACAAAGTAAGGAAACAAAACAATGAGTGTAAGAAAGATAGAAGCAGAATGAAAAATGATCGCATTAAGCAGCACAAATGCCAGTAAAACGTCAGGTTACAGATCAACGCGATATTTGCCTCATCGTCGACTTGTGCGGTCGCTCTACGGCAATTTTGTAATTTTTCTTTTTCCCGCCATTCCTTTTATTCCTTTATATACATATAGCTTGAACATTGCATTAGCTACGATTTGTCTCATATATCTATCTTTTCTAGTCTCTTTTACTTATATATATATATATATATATATATATAAGTAAAATATATAAATATATATATATATATTTCATTAAAAACATTTTTAATGAATCGGTTGTCAACGTTTACAATTGTATAGACAATGTGAAAAAAAGATTATTCTTATTTATCATTATTTAATTATAATTACAAAAAAATATATTTAAAAATTTACTCATAATATAATATTTTCATATATGTTGTAAATTGAATATGAAATAATATAACATTATCAAACCATATTATTTGAGTATGCTACTTTTTAAAGATGTTATAAGGAAATTATATTTTTGAATAAAAATGTTTTTGAAAAGTCAATTTCTTGATCGTGTAATAATAAAAATTTTACTAAAGACCGTTTCGTGTGTTCTTATCTCTCTATTCGCGTTTTAAGACATTAGAAGTCAATGAACAAAAGATTGTACTACATCAAATTCGTTGGCATGCGCAGACGGCTTTTTTGTTTAGCGCGTTCGTGCGCGCATTGACTTCTCGATGGGACGCCGGGATATGGAAGGCCGCCGCGGTAGAAAAAGAAGTAACGCGAAGGCTCGTCAACGAGAATGACGCTCTCTGTAAATGATCAGGAGTACACTGCCGGACAGTTCTTGCCTTTTTCGAACAACCGTTTGCGAAACCGGGCAGTGCGACATGTTTACCAGCTTCACTGATCGTCTTGCTATTCTTAATTTTTTGAATGTCTCTAAGATTGATTTGGACTTGAAGATAATTTTTTAAAAATCAAATTTTTATATTTTGTTCGAATATAAAATGATTTTTTTTTTATAAGTAACTATTAATAAGTAATCAAATTAATCACTTGAAAATAAAATATTAAATTGCATTTCTATAGTGTACGATTGAATGTGTTTATTAGAATAAGAATCAGTTTATAAATATCAAAATATTATTATTATATCATATAATTATTTGGAATCAAATAGTCTTCCAATTAATAATCAAAATCCTTGTATATTTTTTAATTGATTCTGCGAAATAATAAATATATATAACATTCATAACGAATATATTCAAAAATATGTTTATAAATATGTTTATAAATATATTTAAGCATTTATATATACATATTTTTATCAACAATATAAATAGCTAATGAAATTCATATTGCATTATTTATTTTATGTGGAATACAATGGATTAAAAGAAAATCATCATTGGAAATAATTTAATTTTTTGTTCTACTACTATAAAACATAATGAATTTGTTGAAATACATTGTTGAGATACAATGTTGATACTGAAATAGATAGAGAAGCGTTAATATAGAAGAAGATATAAGAAAGCATGGAGAAAGAGACAGTGAAGAATTAGAAGAAACGAAGAAAAGCAAGAC